TAACGGTTTTCGAACATAAAAAAAAAAAAAAATTGAAAAAAAAAAAAATTTTTTTTAACGGCAGCTTCAATATTATAAAAATCAAAACTGTCATTTGCAAAAAAAAAAAAATATATTACTCGACGTATTTTTTTTTTTTTACGCGCCTTTTTTTTTTTTAATTAGATAAGGGGGGCCAACTGTTTTTTAATTAAATTTTTTATTTAAAAAAATAGAAAGACGCGAAATGTTTTCCGTTTAACATTAAAATACTTTTACTTCTTCTTAATAATGTAATTATTACGATCGAATTCGAATGAGTACTGTTATTTAACGAACAGGTAATAAATATAATTTATTTTACATCTCCCGGATATTTAATAATAATAATAATAATAATAATAATAATAATAATAATAGTAATAATAATAATTTAATTTAATTTAATTTTAACAATTATTTTACATCATTCACAGTTTTTTCTAAACGATTTGAACTTTCGAACGTTTATTTACAAGGGGGCGGGGGTTTTTTATCGATTCATATGTTTTTTATTTATTTCTCTGATTCTGAATAACCGTTAAAATTTAAAAATCTTTTATCAGTTTTTTCTCTCCCCCCCCGTCTCTCTCTTTTTCTCTCTCGATAAACTTTTTTCTCTTAATATTTACAATTTTGTTTTTGTTTTTTTTTTTTTCGCAACAAAACTTTTCGACATTTTTCAAATAACTCTGATTTTTCAACTTGTCTTGTTTCATTATACACTCTTATTTAGTTTTCTCGATAATAATTTCGTTACGTAAATACATAATATAACATCTATCAATTACGTAAATGACAATAATAATAATAATAATAATAATAATAATAATAATAATAATAATAATATTATCATGATAAAAATAACTCGTTCAAAAAAAAAAAATTAACAAATGAGGAAAAACTTGCATTAAAAATAATTAAAAACGCCCGTTAAAAATCGATTAGGCAAAATCAACACAATAAAATTTTTTCCAAAAAACATTTTTTTCCGGGTTTTTTTTTTTTTTATTTTGATATGTCACACGTTGATAAATCATTTATAAAATAAAATTTAAAAAAAAAAAGCCGGACATTTTGTTTTTCTTTTTGGTTTTTCTTAATACGGTAATAGCAATTAACAAAAAAAAAAAAATTTTTTTTATCAGATAATCGCTCAAGATTAAAAAAAATTACATAAAGTTGGTTTAAACCGAGGATTAATTAATTTAAAACGGTGTAATTAACAACCGTTAATAATAATAATAATAATAATAATAATAATAAATACCGAACGAAATATAAATATTCAAAAAGTAATTTTTTTTTTTCAAGAGGGAGAGAGAGAGAGAGAGAGAGGGCTTGAAAGGAGATGCAGGTAATTTGCGTAGTACAGCATCCGTTTAAAACTGTAAAAAATTAATATTATTATCTTCGATATGAATGTTTAAAACGAAATGAATTTTTTAATTTTTTTTGCCGGAATACGGTGTGATAATAATAAGTAATGATAAGATTAATTTTTCACTGAATCACAGCAAAAATTAATAACACAATCGAGTAAATTTTGCGGCGAAATAATAAAAAAAAATAAAAATAATAATAATAATTTTAATAAATTTGCGTGCGTGAATGCAACGAATTTGATTTTTGCCTTTTTTTTTTGCAAATTTATTATTTCTCTAAAAAAAAAAAAAAAAAAAAAAAATGGCGTCCCGAGAACAGCCCGCATAACATTCATGAATATTTTAATAAAATCATCACAAAAAAAAAAAAAAAAAAATTGCATTAAAAAAATTTTTTTTTTTTTTTTTTTAAACCGTAATAAATCACGTGTTATCACAGATAAGAAAACATCAAAACGATAATAAATAAATAATTAAGTTTACTGTCTCCGATAATTACGATTCAAAAAAAAAAATCAATCGATAATCGATTATTATTATTATTATTATTTTCATTCAAGTTAAAATCATACGAAGAATTCAAATTGAAAAATTATGAATTTTGGACAAACATCGACGTACCCATTCTTCGTCAACTCACTCTAACGGGTGCCATTCAAGTATTGCCCTATAGAGATCAATACGAAAGAAGAATTTTCTGGGCGAGAGCCGGAATATGGAAACCCAGCGATTTTTCAATCGAATATTTGCTACAGGTATTCTTCCTACAATAATTCATTCGTTTCCCCCCCCTTCCTCTCGACCCTTTTTTTTTTTTTAAATAAAACGTTTTTTATTATCAGGCTGGTGGAATATGTGGGGATGCAACAATCGTCGAACCTAAAACTCAAATAGCAGGTATCGTCATGATATTCGATCTCAAAGATGTCGGAATGTCACATGTGAAAACAGTAACGCCAGCATTTGCTAAAAAAATGATACATTTTTTAGCCGTAAGTTAAACATTAATTAATTAATTAACATCAGTTTTTTTTTTTTTCATAACGAAAAAATTTAAGTTAATAAATATAAATACATAATTTTTTCTCACGATTTCATAAAACAAGCGTTAATAACGTTCCGTAATTTATTTATAATTAATTTTTTTTTTTTTTTTTTAGGCTTGCCTTCCTGTAAGGGTCAACGCACTTCACGTGGTCAACGAACCATCGATATTTTCCGTTGCATTTTCTATATTTAAAGCATTTTTAACGGAAAAAATGAAAAAAAGAGTAAGTGAGAAAACCTAATGATAATTAATTGTAATAATAATAATAATAATTTTTTTTTTTTCGTCATTCACAGTTATATTTTCACGGATCGAATTTACAATCGTTACACGAACACGTGACACCAAATTGTTTACCACCAGAACTTGGTGGTAAAACAGGGCCAATCGATCCACAAGAATGGTATAAAGTTCTCATGGGTGACTTGGTTCGAAAAGGTTAAACGAATTTAATTTTTAATTTTTAGTAATTTTTTAGTAATTTTTTAGTAATTTTTAGTAATTTTAATTTTTTTTATTTTTTTTAATCGCAGAATTAAGTAATTTGGGTTATAAATTCATAAATGAAGATAAATGAACAAGGGAGACAAAAAAAAAAAAAAAACAAATCAGGATGGAATACGAATCTCTCTCTCTCTCTCTCCACGTAATCATTTATTAATTCGAATTCTCCTGACACTTTTATTTTTATCAGTGATTTGAATGGTTTATAAACTGCAGTGTGAAGTTTTTTTTTTTTTTAAAAAAGTAATCGAACGATAATTTTATCAATAACAATAATAATAATAATATTAATAAAATATTTTTCATACGATTTTTTTTAATATTTTTAAATTATTTAAATAAATACATTTTCCGAATCGATTTTTTTTTAAAAAGTACTTTAATATTATTATTATTAATTTTTATTTCACGTTATTGGAAAGTTTTATTTTTTCGCTGAAAAATACTTGTTTCGCGAGTTTTATTCGAATAATAATAATAATAATAATAATAATAATAATAATACGTAAACGTTTGATGCTTGTATTAATACTTAAATGTATTTTTTACTCTTTGCTTAATCCCTTCTCCCCCTCCCCCTAACCCCCCCAAAAAAGAACGTATTGGAAAGTGGTTATATGTATATTATATCATAGTTTCATTTAAAAAAAATAAAAAACTAAATTCTTAAGAATTCGAGTCCGAGTAATAAACACAAAAAAAAAAAAAATTAAACCTACAAAGAAAACGCATTAAAAAATTTATTAATATTATTATTATTATTGATGAGTGCAAAAAAAATTAAAAAATAAAAATTTTCTCATCAATCACGATGATATCAATTTAAAAAAAATTATATATATGTGGATACCTTCGCACGTGGCAGTAGATTTATTTTACAAAAAAAAAAAAAAAAATTTAAACCCATATTAAAATGTTTTCATTAAAATAAATATTCTCCTCCCGCCCCTCCCCCTCCCATTTCGAAGTTTCGGGTTTTCTCTTTTTCTCCTATTATTATTATTATTTATTTTAATAAATTCTTTACCGAACATTTAGAAAAAAAAAAAAAAAACAAAACAAAACGAAAAAGAATAAAATGAAAAGTAGTAAAAGATGGTTAAAATGGACCTCCTAAAAATATAAATTTTTTTTTTTTTGGTAAAATTATTGTAAATTTATGCAAAACTTATGGAAACCTAATAAAATTGTGATTATATTTCAAAAATTTGTTAATTTTCACCAAAAAAAAAAAAAAAAACTTTTCATTTTGGTAAATTCGAAAGAATGAAAATTAAAATAATAATTTTTAATATTATCATCATTATTATTATTTAAAAATTTAAAGATTTTTCACGGCGTTAAAAACAAAAATAATAGTGATGATGATCAGGATGATGATGATGATGATGATGATAAAATGAAAAGAATGGGAGCAAAAAAAAAAAAAAAAACTGTCGCATGAATTCAAGCAAATAAAAAAAAAAAATTCTTTTTGTTAGCAGACGATCGATACATCTAAAAAAACTTCAAGGGCGTTACAACGTGAGATTTTTCATACAGGAATTTTTTTTCTTTCTCTTTCTTTCTAACGTAAAACCTCGAATTTTATCTTTGTTTTCACTTTAAAAAAAATTATTTAAAAGATTCAATATATTTAACATTGTGTTAGTGTGTTTGCTTCCCCGACGTTTTTCGTCTTTCGATCCCTATTCCAGTTTAATTTTTTTTTTTTTAACGGAAAAAAAAAAAAAACATTTCCGACGTTGTTGTTAAAAAGTAAAAATTTATAGTTTCCGGTACATGCATCAGAGAGAGAGAGATAGAGAGATAGAGAAGGATGTGAGATTTTTTTTTTTTTTTTTTACTCTCCCGTCGGAATGGAAGAAAGGAAAAAAAAAAAAAAGGATGATGTGCATGATGATGATGATGATGATAATGATAAGAATATCCAGACTGAAAGTCCAACATCGTTCGAGGGAACGCTAACAAGTTGTAGCTTTCGATGACCCAGAATTTCTTTATATTCAAAGATCGGGAAAATAGGGAAGAACAACAGGATAGAAATCGGATGCAAAAGGATTTATACGTCGACGCGCAGAACTCGATTGAACGGAGAGCGAACGCAAAGAGAACAGTTTGCGGGAGACAGGCGCCCGGACGGTCGCTAAAACCATTTAATCGAACCCGAATTTTTTTTTTCTTTTTTTAACGTTTCTTTTTTTTTTTTTTTCTTTTTTTTGTCTGTTAACGTGGAATACTCAATTATTAATAATACTAATAATAATAATAATAATAATAATAATAATTTATGTACATATGTAACCAAATATATGCGAACGCGTATCCCGGGGTTATTACGGTGCGAAAAAAAATCACACGACGACATTTTTATTCCGACGTATATTTACTTAAATAAAATAAAAAAAAAATTATTTTTAATTTTTTCTACGTTTAATTATTAATAATAATAATAATAATGATAATAAATGTTTGAGTGAACGGTTTCTGAACGCGTTTTTTTTTTTTTGTCGAAAGAAAGTGTTAAATCGCATTACAATATTCGTAATAAAAAAAAAAATATCGAGAACGGCGCGAAAAATTTTAATATTTAAATAATAATAATAATAATGATGAGGATGATGATGATGATAATAATGGCGATGATGAAAAATAATTAACGTTAGTTTTATGTTTCACGACTGGAATTTCGATTTATTCTTTACGTGGAAAAATACTGGAATATAATAGAAAAAGGAGCGGCGGCGGCGGCGGCAGTGGTAGTGGTAGCGGAGGAGGTGGTGGTGGTGGTGTCAGTGGCGGCGGTGGTGGGGAAAAGAAGAAGAAAAAAAATAGTGAGGGTAAAATAAAAGGAGAAAGAGAAAAGATTGCGTTGAGATTTTAACATTTATTAAACAATGAAAATTTTTTTTATTGTCACGTGGTGACATATGGAAAACAATAAAAATCTATTTACAATGTAATTCTCTATCTCTCTCTCTGTCTCTCTCTCTCTTTTTCGATCTATCGTTACAATTCTTTGACGTTTGTATAAAATCTATATTGTTTGTTTTATATTTATATATTCCCTCGTGAAAATTTTTAAGATTCGATCGACGACGATGACGATGACGACAACAATAACAAACGTTCAAAACAATAATTTTTTTTTTTTTTAATTTCAAACCATTCGAATTTTAAACGAACGTGCGAACGTATATATATCGATTCGAGGATTTATAATTATTAGTCGGTAATAAAAGAATCGTTGAACTTTTTTTTTTTTTTTAAGTTTTTTTCCCCCACGAATTTCACAAAAAAAAAAAAAAAATTCTCGTGAGAATATTTAAATTTACTCTACTTCTTAGCCCCTCCCCCTCTTCCTTCCCTTCCTCCTCCCCTCGCAACAAAAAAAAAAAATTTCGATTTCATTTCAATGTGAAAAAAAAAAATTATTATTATTATTTTTTATTTTAAAATTCCTCTTATTTCGAGTCGAATGAATTTTCATTTATCGATTCTTTATTATTATTATTATTATTATTATTATTACCTAACTCTATAAAGTATTTAATTAATAAGATTATTATTATTATTATTATTATTATCATTTTCTCCCATTCCAAAAGAAAATAAATTATTTATTGCTTTTAAAAACCTATCAGTATCATTATTTTTTTAATAAAAAAAAAAAAAAAAAATTTAATACGAAAACAAAATGGCGGAGTAAATTTTTTTTTTTTTAATTTACCTTTAAAAATGATTTATTATTTATTTTTTTTTTTGGGGGGGCGGAGGGAAATTGGGAAAATTTGCAACTTTCAAAAAGGAAATTTTCTCTCTTTTTTTTTTTTTACTCAAACAGTTGAATTTCGATTCGTTAAAAAATAAAAATAATGATGATGATGATGATGATACGATAGGGCGCTCTCATTAATAAAATTAAACTTTTTTTTTGGGGGGG